CTCTCTCTCTCTCTCTCTCTCTCTCTCTCTCTCTCTCTCTCTCTGTGGATGATAATAATCATGTGTTGTATTACAGTATGGCTGGAGTCACTACAGGCAATGTTGGTTACTTGGCGAATGCTATACATGAGGTGACTAAACACACTTGAGATTTGTTGCACGAACCTATAGACGTACTTCACCTCATCCTTGAAATACCTCAGAAATAAATAAAGAATTTTGCTCAATTCTTCACATTTCTTGCTGTATCCCCAGAAATGGATTGTGTACGGCCTTTGAACAAAAATAAGATGTTTTGTGAATCAAGAAATTGCAACTCTCTTGATCAGCAAAATAAAATAAGATGTTTAGCAAAATATTCACACTGTCTTACAAAATTTGGCAGCCGTTTATGGGCAAACTTATGTAGTTATGTTGTTATTTGTTAAACTTAACATGTACTTCTTGGAGTGAAGTTATGAATATTCCAAATGATTTATTAATTTTGAGTTCTTATGTGCCTTATACTTGTTACCATTTAGTCCTCTTACCATTAAACTATCACGTTTTCTGAGGAATAGTATAGATCGATTGTAACGCTCAAATGCCATATTAACGACACGCTCAAATGCCATATTAATCATGAAGCAATTTTATTGAACTAGTAAAGTGCACGTGCGATGCACGTGGCGTCGAATAATTATCGCGGAGTAAGTTTGTAGAATAAATTAATTTATTTATTAAACATATCATTGCATAAATGAAGTAAAATATAGAAAAAAAAAATTTTAGAATTAACATAATGATGTCCTCATATAAAAATATTGAAATAACGTTTTACAAACCCCAACAAAAATATATATAAAAAAACAAATTCCTAATAAGAAAAACATAAAGATTTTTTTTCATTTTAGTTTTAAAGTTCTCATAAGAACATTCATAGTCGTTGGAGTCCAATACATCAATACTATTGCAAAATCCTTCTTAATTAATTTGGCAAAACGCCAATTTTATTCAAACACTTAAGAAACATTCTGACCCAAAATATAGTCAAACTTCATGATCGTATGATCTTTATAACAAGGTACTTCTACTAACAAAGAATAAATATCTCTATGAACTAACTAACGGTGTTACTAAAATTGCTGATATTTTTTTATCACTGTATAAACTACTACATTCTTCTATCTCTAGATATATTGGTGTCTACCCTATTGATGCATCACCTCACGAAGTGGGAATGAATTTTATCTCCAAATAAAAGTTGACTTTCCAAAATCTTGGTTACATGTACTTCTCTCGGGGTGCTAAATTATTTCTTGAAATCATCATACATTACCTAAAAGTACCTCTAAAGTAATTGCACATATGTCCAAGCACAATACAACAATGAGATTATAAATCTAGAATATAGACGAACAATATAATCTATTTTTTGCAATGATAAAACAAAACAATGAGAAAATATTGAGAAGCTTATCATTTGTTAAAATATTTGACAACAGAGAATTAGAATTCCATTATATGACGATATTTTTAGTCATTTGTAAAGTTTATTATTATGGAGTCATGATTAAAATATACATCATGTATACAAATTTTTAGATTTTTTAATTATTTAAAATTGAAAATAAATAATATATGATCATTATCAGATTTTTTAATTATTTAAAATTGAAAATAAATAATATATGATCATTATTTATGAGAACCAATTTCTTACAGAGTCTATATATTTAAACGCTAGCAACAAAAAAGTAGTAATTTTAAAAGACTTTTTGTTTGTAAATATTGGTATTCATACTTTTTATAAGAAAATTAGCATGTTTTCTTTTTCTCATTGCATTACTATTATATTATTTCTTTCTTATTCTATAGACAAATAATATTTTATTTGCTAAGTAACTAAAGCACCTTTATACGTATTATGTTATTTTTTGTATGTGTTTTATATAATGATGGTATCAATTATCTTATTTATTAGGCTACAATTAATATAATCACATAAGATTAAATGTAAATTTAATATATTTGATAAAATTGTACTTTTTATACGAATTATTAGACTAAAAAGTTTTAGAATTTTTTTCAATGTTTGATAAAATATTAATTAACTAAGTCATTTTCATAATCACTGAATACATATATGGTACCACCATTATAGGGTTCATTTTGCAGCAGTAATTGACTTCACCGATTTTGCTATGAAGCCAACAATTGGCTCCGTAGTGAAGCCAACCTTCTATATACAACAAATAAACTTATCATATTAATAAAATTATATTCGTGTTATATAAGTAATCAGAGAATATAGTAGGTTTACTTGTTGTATATAGAAGGTTCGCTCCACTACGGAGCCAACTGTTGGCTTCATAGCAAAACCGTTGACTTCACATAGCTAATGTTATTTCATTTCCTTTCTCTGGCCTAGCCTTCCTTTTATCTATGACTTCACATTGCTTCGCTTCGTTTGTACCCTAAGGTGCATTTGTCATAGTTTCAGCATTACGACAAACTCGTGTCACATATATCGGATTTGGGCGCTCTAGCCAAAACGTGGGAATAGTTAGAAGTTTACACCCATTTTTTTTTTTACTTTTTTTTAATTGTTTCAAATTTATGTATGGAAAACATACCACAAGTTTATTTTATATTATTTTATACTTAATAAAATTGATTTAACTTGAATATAAAATTTATTATATTATATACTTTAAGACTAATTTATTATTTTAAATTAGTACTGATATATATATATATATATGTATATTATTTTATATCAATATAAATAATTATATTATTTTTATTTTATTGCAATATATGGGTCAACTCAAACATCATTGAAAATAAATGTGTGATATATTACATATAAAAAGGTAACAAATAAAAAATATGAAGTATTTGAAAATTAAAAAATTTAATGATAGAACGTAATAAAAATCTTAACTAAAAAAATTTAAAATAAACATACCCACTTTTAAAAAAATATACATATGAATATATATATATGTGTGTATATATATTATGTACTTAAAAGTTCTAGTTAAAATATATGTGTATCTTAAGTATGTTTTATATTTATCATTAGTCAGCTTCAATTGATATTGTATATTAAGTAATTTTATCGGCATTTTTACTTTTGGATTTAATGAGAGTTATAAGTTTTGTCATTTTTCCTACCCCTTATTTAGTTATTACAATACTAATAAAATAATTAAGGACCTTTCAAACTATCTTGTTTGCTTTGAAAAAAATTAATTCTTATCATAAATTGAACGCCAATTACATTGAATGTGTTATATATTCTATCGTATCAAAAATTTCCATAATAATAGTTGCACACAATATTATATATAATGCATTTTTTTTTATAGATTTGGAGTCTTAGTTTTACTACAAGAAAATGAGAATATTACAACAAAAATTACAACAACTATAACGATTTTCTTATGTTGATTTTAGAAAAATCTTGACTTTTGGTTTCTTAAATATATTTTACCTTATTGTGATTGCATAGATTTATTAAAATGTATTACAAATGAGAAATGTGATAGATTATGTAAAGTATAATTTATAAATTGCAATGACATGTTATTTTGATGGTATATTTTTTTCGATTAACTAAATAATGTTCCCAATATGAAATTATTTTGGATCTATCACTGCAATTATCTTTCCAATGGAACTTCTATTGAATTTTTGCATAATACCAAAGACAATTTTTTCAACGATTGAAATATGGTCCAAAAAATAAATTTCAATAGAAATTCAGGTAATTGAACTCTATTGGAATAGCCAATGAAAGCAACATATTCGTTGAAATTTTCAGTCAAATACCTTACCTTTGAAGTTTTTATTGCAGTATAGCAAAATTTTTGTAGTCCTCTCAAACATTATTTTTTATGTAGTATTTATTAAAGTAATTGTGTTTACAATTTTTGTATTAAAAATATATTTAACACGTGAACGTTTTAGTTCCTATAATATTTTTCCAGAAATCACTCATTATTTTATCTCTAGATTACCTATTAATTTACCAATTGAGTTACATTTCTTAAATATTAAATATCATATAATTAAAATATTTCTTGTTTTATCTGTTCAATATCATACTTATATATTATATTTAAAAAACTATTATAGTAAATAAAAAATTTATTTAAAATTAGAATAATAAAGATTTTTTTTCTAATCTACATGTATAAATGTACAAATAACTATTGTCTATCACCTCAAATTTATACATAAAATTAATAAGAACAAAAAACTAACAAGCGTTTAACAATTCAGTTCGATTACATCGATAAGTATATTTTTAGAAGGTTTATATTTAGTTATATTAATTATATTATTTTTGTTTATTAGTTTGTTTTTTATTTATTAGTACGTGTCAAAACTTAGTTATTATTCATATTATTTCTTATATTTAATATATTTTTAAAACTTTATATTGTTCTTTCACATGTTCTAACTGTAGATTTGTCAAAAAAGACATAATATAAAGAATAGAATTTTTTCGATCATCTGCCTCATTATATATCAAATATTTGTATATCCTATATTATATTATATTTAATTACAATTTTTTATTAATATTTTAATTAAATATTTACAATTCATAAATTCATTAATAATATTATCGAGTCAACATTTGTTCATAAATTTTTTAAAAATATATTATTTTCATCGATTTTCTTATGTTGAATTGAGAAAAGTTATATTTTTTAATTACATATAGGGAAGATATAATATTTCTTATATTTTTATGTATTATTTATTGAGTAATTGTGTTTACAATTTTTCTATTAAAAATATTTTAAAAACGTGAACATTTTAGTTCCTATAATTTTTTTTTTTCAGAAATCGCTCATTATTTTATCCCAAGATTACCTATTAATTTACCAATTGAGTTACATTTCTTACATATTAAATATTATATAATTAAAATATTTCTTGTTTTATCTGTTCAATATGATACTTATATATTATATTAAGAAAACTAATATAGTAAATAAAAAAGTTATTTAAAATTAGAATAATAATGATTTTTTTTTTCTAATCTACATGTATAAATGTACAAATAACTATTGTTTATCACCTCAAATTTACACATAAAATTAATAAGAACAAAAAACTAACAAGCGTTTAACAACTCAGTTCGATTACATCGATAAGTATATTTTTAGAAGGTTTATATTTAGTTTTATTAATTATATTATTTTTGTTTGATAGTTTGTTTTATATTTATTAGTATGTGTCACAACTTAGTTATTATTCATATTATTTCTTATATTTAATATTTTTTTAAAACTTTATCTTGTTCTTTCACATGTTCCTAACTGTAGATTTGTTAAAAAAGACAAAATATAAAGTATAGAATTTTTCGATCATCTGCCTCATTATATATCAAATATTTGTATATCCTATATTATATTATATTTAATTACAATTTTTTAATTAAATGTTTACAATTCATAAACTCATTAATAATATTGTCGAGTCAACTTTTGTTCATAAATTTTTTAAAAATATATTATTTTCATTGATTTGCTTATGTTGAATTGAGAAAAGTTATGTTTTTTAATTATATATAGGGAGAATACAAGATTTCCTATCTTTTTTTATATAGTATTTATTGAGTAATTGTGTTTATAATTTTTCTATTAAAAATATATTAAACACGTGAACTTTTTAGTTCTTATAATTTTATTTTTTTTCAGAAATCACTCATTATTTTATCCCAAGATTACCTATTAATTTACCAATTGAGTTACATTTCTTACATATTACATAATATATAATTAAAATATTTCTTGTTTTATCTGTTCAATATGATATTTATATATTATATTAAAAAATCTAATATAGTAAATAAAAAATTTATTTAAAATTAGAATAATAAAGATTTTTTTCTAATCTACATGTATAAATGTACAAATAACTATTGTCTATCACTTCAAATTTACACATAAAATTAATAAGAACAAAAAACTAACAAGTGTTAACTCAGTTCGATTACATCGATAAGTATATTTTTAGAAGGTTTATATTTAGTTATATTAATTATATTATTTTTTTTTATTAGTTTGTTTTATATTTATTAGTACGTGTCACAACTTAGTTATTATTCATATTATTTCTTATATTTAATATTTTATTAAACCTTTATCTTGTTCTTTCACATGTCCTTAACTGTAGATTTGTCAAAAAAGACATAATATAAAGTATATAATTTTTTCGATCATCTGCCTCATTATATATCAAATATTTGTATATCCTATATTATCTTATAATAACAATTTTATAAATAATATTTTAATTAAATATTTACAATTCATAAATTCATTAATAATATTGTCGAGTCAACTTTTGTTCATAAAATTTTTAAAAATATATTATTTTCATTGATTTGCTTATGTTGAATTGAGAAAAGTTATGTTTTTTAATTACATATAGGGAGGATATAAGATTTCTTATATTTTTATGTAGTATTTATTGAGTAATTGTGTTTAAAATTTTTCTATTAAAAATATATTAAACACGTGAACTTTTTAGTTCCTATAATTATTTTTTTTTTCAGAAATCACTCATTATTTTATCCCAAGATTACCTATTAATTTACTAATTGAGTTACATTTCTTACATATTAAATATTATATAATTAAAATATTTCTTGTTTTATCTGTTCAATCTGATACTTATATATTATATTAAAAAAACTAATATAGTAAATAAAAAAAGTTATTTAAAATTAGAATAATAAAGATTTTTTTCTAATCTACATGTATAAATGTACAAATAACTATTATCTATCACCTCAAATTAAACATAAAATTAATAAGAACAAAAAATTAACAAGCGTTTAACAACTCAGTTGGATTACATTGATAAGTATATTTTTAGAAGGTTTCTATTTAGTTATATTTGTTAACATCCGGATCGGTAAACTTGCATTAAGGAATTCTATACAACACATTAGAAGGAAGATGATCATTGAACCGACGTTGTTACATACACCACCCCGGTTCAGGCGACAGACCGGACCGAACTACCG